TGATTAAAAAAAGTCAAAACCTGATTTTTAAAAAGTTAAAACTAAACACCTGGTCTAGTCAAATTTTCCCTTCTCCTTTTAAAGAGGGTGAGTTGTTGGCCCAATTATTTTTTTTCGAATAATTGTCTACCCTTTCGCGATTTTATTTAAAAAAAAAAAAAATGGGAAATACTACACAGTGGAAACAAATTGATATCCTATATGAAATTGTACAGAGTTACCTAAAACTTTAAGTGAAACTAGTAATGATATCTTTTTCTTTTAATCAAAATTATCTTATTACTCAAAATATATTAATTATTTCTAAAAATATTTGTTGACCATTCTTTTGAAATCATTGTAATTACTCAAAATATGATATTTTCCATCCATGCCGGATTTGTAGATAAACTCACAATTAATAATCCTTTTTTTTTTTTTTCTGTAAATGTAATTTTTTGAAGATTTATTTGGAAAAAGATTTATTGTAGGAATTGTCACCGTCTATTTAAGACTTGAGAAACCATCACAAGACAAAAATAAGATCCGTACATTTCAAAATTTTCATTAAGGATGACATCTTTATGTCTACCCTTCTTGTGTGGAGTGGAAGCATGTGCAATGATTTTCAATCGACGCGATAGTGAAGACAAGATCCAGCTTTCGTCGTGCTTCGAGATTTAGGAAATTTTTCAAGAAATGGAGCAAGATCGTAAAATCATTGGTCGAGTTAATTTTAAAGATCAAGGAATTGAGAAAAATGATTTTTCGGGTTTGTCTCATTTCTATAAGCTTCGTAAAATCTCATGAGCACTCGGCGAGCCACTAAATGGAAAGTTTGGGGGTCGTAAGGGGCGAAAATCATTGCACAGGCTTGTACACCACACAATGAAGGGAAGGGCACGTAAAGGATCTTCAGATCCATCGTGCTATTCTTGCCACCAGTTTCGTGTAGATTAATATCAGATTTTTAATAGATTTTCATAAAAGCTGATGAAATATATGGCTTTAAATTAATTGTAACTTTTGATTTAAAATTTAATTTCATTAAAATCTCCCCCAAATAGGGACTTGGTAGGTGATAAATGGGTTTAGGGGTCATGTGGGTATAATAGTCAATTCCTGATTAATTTGGTAATATTAAAGAATAGTTTTTTTAATTTGATCCAATCAGTAATCTGATTTTCTATTTAATAATTTATTTTCTTAATTAGAGTACAAATAACAGTAAATCTTGGCTTGTATATTTCAATGGTGAGTGTATTTAACATATCTATAAAATTCATATTTATTTTGACATTATACAATTGATATTTAGTTTAACAACTTTGGACTGTCGACCAAATGGCCCAAGTTGTATGTTTTGATATTATATTTATCGACGGTCAAAATTCATCATAAAAAGTAAGAGGGTGTTTGGTGGGAATTAAAATTAGATTTTTAGTAGATTATGATAGAAATTTTTGAAATGTGTTATTAAAAAGTTGTGAGACCCATTAAAGATGTGGTTAATATTGATTGTTTGACTTTAATTTAAATTAAAATTTGATTTTAATCAGAAACAAACAGGGCCTAAGATAGGCTAACTAATTAAAGATTAAGATAAGAATACAATGAAAAAAAATTTAAGAATGTATATTTGAAAGACGACATTTGCTAAACAAAGCAAATTAAGAATTCAAAAATAATAATTTAATTGAAGAAAAATAAAGGACAACAACTTCGAAACAAAAAGATATAGCAGTCAAGAGCAATTACTCTTGTTATTCTTAGGCCAACATAAGATAGCAAATAACTGTCTATAGCAAGTGTTTTGCAGGAGTACCGCCGGGCATGCTAGTTGGGCCGCCTGTTCCGGCAGCAGTAGAGCTAAGATCAGCCATGTCCCGGCCGTAGGCCGCTTGTGTCCCCTCCTCATGTGTTGGAACAGTGGAATGTCCAACATTACTCGGGTTGCTACTCATGTCAACACCGTGTTGTTGGCGGTTTGTGCTGTCGTGTGCGTGTTTTCTTTCATGTTGAGCCACCTTTTCCACAGCTTTGTTCACATGAATATCCATTGCAGCTTCAGCTTCTCTTGCCAGTCTTACCTCGTGCGCGACCTCAACCCGAGCTTTAGCCAACTCTTTCTCCGCCTACAAATCGCAAACTTTTAGATCATCTTTGGTATATACACGGTACTAGACACTACTTGATAGTGCTGAACTTATTTTTCTTCTTTAATATTATTCAATAATGTGTAGTTTACCTTATCAAACGTGTCACTCATTGAAAAAAATTGTAAATTCGATTAATTATTTTTTTTCTTACCTTTTCTTCCTCTTTTGCTTCAGCCTTGGCCTTGCGCATGGTGCTCATGTCATTCAACTTTTCCTTTATAGCCTGCATTTTTCCTTCTCTTTCTGCAAGTATTAAATTGTAAGTATCCTATTTTATTACAGCTAGAAATATAACATGGTATATATAGATAGTGAAATTTGCAGCAATGGGTTCAAAATAATCCACTTTTCTGGCAAAAAAAAGCTAATTTTAATGGCTAAAATACGTTACATGTGTTAGCCATGGAGACTTCTTCTCACTGGAAATAAAGTTGTTTCGAACTAATGGCTGCACGGAATTCTTTCACATGAGCTAGGAATATTGTCCATTTTTAGTGGATAAGATTAAATTAAGTACCAATAATTAATTTAGCTCCCGTTTAATGTAGATAAAAATCAAAATTTTGGTAGATTTTGATAAAAACTGATGAAATGTATGGTTGGAAAATTAATAAAAATTGTGATCCCATGAAATATGTGAGTAAAATTAATTATTGACTTTGACTTAAATTTTTATCAACTTTTTAAGTTACACCAAACAATGTCTTCGTAAGAAAGTCGTGCGTGTTTGGGCTCTTGTTTTCGTCAATATTCTCCCATGTGCACATTGTTCACTATTAAGTAATGGCACGTCTACCTCATACGACATTAATTTATGTTAATACTATGTTGATATAGGCGAGCAAACCCGACAAACACAAGATCGAGGTTCGTTGATTTCAAAATGTTGACATACAAAATGTACAGCCCAAGAAAGGAAATGACCTAAGAGAAGAAGCTCATTTAAAGAAATCAAGGTGAAAGCCCAGCCAGAAATATCATTAAATATGATGAAAGCCAAAAATAAAGGAGTGTTGTTGCCCAAGCCTGCGGAACGCCCAGATGTTGAGCGAATGAAGTATCATATAATCGCCCAGAGCGGAAGACCAATTGTAGCCCAAAAATGCTGAGTCGCCCAGAGTCCTAGCAATGACCAAAGCTTGTTGTTATCCAAAGTCACGATCTAAGGCAATTTGCGCACATCACAGTTACGCCCCACGCTTTGAGAGAGTTGATGGCA